CCCCCCCCCCGCCGCAACCGTCTACGCTTGTGTGGTTTGTGCGTTGTCCTGTGATTGTTGGTACCCGGTTGTCGTTGTATTTTAGAAAATTAGACACATTTTTATTGCGAGAAGGGTTCAGCCACCCCTCCCTGTCCCTCGTGGTACTAACTAACGAGTTGTTTCCGTTTTGACTCCCATCCTCTTTGGGCACGTTTTCTTCGCCACTCTTCAAAATAAACGGTTTTCCTCCACCCTTCTGAAAAGAGTGCGACTCCACCGCATTCCGTTCGACTGTGGGTATATCTCGAATGGGTAGTCTTTCTGTGTGTGTATATATTTTTCCTTAATAAACGACAGGTCATTCGACCGAGTGATCGCTGTGTGTATGGCACTTTTTGGTTCGTTTGCGACGACTTTGGACATACATGCCGCCACAGATCTATCTGGAGGGTAGACTATTTATTATCCAATGCGGCGACTATACATACCATTGATAACATCTGGACCTCAGCGTTTAACCATAACACCTTCTACTGTAGCGCATGGACGAGGTCGTCTCACACCGTATTCAAAAGGACGCCTTTTTTCTCCAAAGCAATTACGACGCTGTCTGTCATCAGTCAGTCCTCGTTGTCGTAAGAAAAGGGGTGGGGAGGAGAGGCACCCACCACATTTGACGAGCGCACACACCAAGAGAGAGCACCGGTTGCAGAACGAATGTGACGGGTGTGTGTATTGTAGTCAACTCTAACTTTTTTAGTTATTGACGAAGGCACCTTACACCACCCTCCAAACCGTAACGACACCCCTCGCCCCCCGCCCCTCCGTCCTCAGAACAGACTGATTCTCTTCATCTACCGGTCGCCCCGGTGGTCTTGTGGTATCCTCGAAATCCGCTAGTTGCATAGGTCGTGAGTTCGAATCCCCATGGGGTGAACAAATTACAAAATGTGCGGGTGAAAGCGAAACATAGCTAAAAAAGCTCTCGTGAGTACCAAACTTCGACGTTAGCACCGTTGACGAGGGAAAGGGGCGGCGGGACCCTTCTCGCGATAAAATAAAATTCAGCACGCACCGCAGGAGGAAGGTAGGGCATGAAAAGATATTAAATAATAAAAAAGCCCTGGTGTTTACCCCCTCCTGTGTGACCCTGGATGGTTGTAGTTGTACGAAAAAATGCACTGAAAAGTGTAGTACACGTCTCACCACGAAAAATGGGGGGACTGTCGCCATAATAAATAGGACGAAAACAAACACACTCACACCCTAGTTACCATCTCGCAGCTCAACAGACGGAACTTTAGGCACAAAACCGACCACAGATAGCGTCGGCACATGAGGACCTCTAGGTTCGGCCGAGGCTACAATGGCCGCTACATTTAGGTTTTAGCGTAAGGGTTTTTAACCGCGCTCACAAACGGTACTCAACTCCATATACAATGAAGTCCTCAATTACTTGTGCCAAGTTCCAAGTGCCGGCGATATCTGTAGCCGCCAATCCCGAAAGGAAATACCGCTGGCAGTCCCGTTCACGTCGTCGGCGATCCCGCCCTTCCCCCCGCCCAGCCCTCATCTTGTTCGCACGCCTCGATGACTTTCCTTAGTTCGGGGGACAGGTCTGCCAAGATGGCTTTGAGCTGAGATCCGTCGAGACTACCCGCTCGATGGAGAGCGAAAAGGTGGTTGTGCCTCGCCTCGGTTGCTGCTTGCTCCATCTCGGCCTTTCTGAGGGCGATCTCCTGGCGCTCCAGTTGCAGAATTCCGCCGCCGCTTCACCTGCCGACCGCGAAGCGCTTCCTCTACGAGCATATCCAGCAGCTTGTTTCTCTCTTGGCTCCTCTTCGCATCATAGGCAGTGAACATGTCGTTGGGGTGCCAGGGACGCTGCGTGCGTTTCGTCGTTCCCTGCTTTCCCGACAAAGCGGCGAGATTCATGCTGTTCCTTTCCGCCAGCTCCTTGTCGAGATACCCGCGGGTCCCACGTCCGGCCGTATCACGGGTTCCCTTCCCCTTCCCATTTGACGCCGGTCGTGAACCACAACGAGCAGAAGAAGACGAAGCCCCTCCGCCGGAGTCGGTAGATCCCGCCGCCAGGATGGCAGAGCGGGCAGCGGACGCGCTCCCACTCACGGCGCCCCCGTCCGTTACTTCGGGTTCGGCGAATCCGCTGGAATTGATCAGAAGCCTGTTCGACGAGAACGTGAGGCACACGCGTGCGGTCACGGGGTCAAGCGTGTTTGGTCTGGAGAGAAAGAGAGAGAGAGCGAGCGAGCGAGCGAGAGAGTGAGTGCGCCTGGCGAGTGTGCGCTCGCGGGTGTAGGCGCATGGTATGTTGGGGGGGCAGTACACCTTCGTAAGAGACGGAGAAACGGCACCCCCCGAAGGCCGACTGCCGTCTAACTAAGCTCGATTGCTCCACAACCAAGCCGGTACGGAAAGAGCCCCGGCACGACTGCGGAAAGCCCTCGACGAGATGTTTCCCAATACAGCGTTCTTGTGGCGCTGGCACAAGCTTGGTTGCGGAGCAATGGAGCTTTGAAAATCGGTCTGGGTGGGGGGGTGCCATCTCTCCCGCCTCTTGTGGTAGACAAGGACTGGGTGAAACTAGCGATAGTTACGGGTCGGGTGAAACCGCGCGGCACCAACGGTGACTGCCGGTCTTGCATTTCTGCGTTGCTGCAAAGGGCTTTCTGCCCCCGGGTGATGCCGGAACAGACCACCAACACTATTTATCTCCTTTCCCCGTCCCTCATGCACACAAGCCCGGATATTGGGGGCGCCCGATAACGAATCTACAGGCCGTAAATACACTCGGCCCAAATCAATGGGTGGAAGGCGGAGCGACAGCAAGAGAGCACCTCAGCACAGGAAACAAAACGGCATCTCCAAACACTCAGCAAAAAAACGAAGACAAACATAATAGTCTCCAAGAAGACAAGATGTCTACCCTGTGTGGCGCCAAGAGTCCTATGTCACTACCTATCGCAAACGGAGCACCACCTAGCTAGGCCAAGTCGACACCACTACACTCTACAAAGGAATGCACGGCAACACAAACCTGAGGGCCTTCTCCATGTCCGGCGCAGAAGAAATGTCGGGTAGCCTCGAGGGCCCCGGCCACCTCACCCGCTGCGATCGAAGGCGCTCGACCACCAGCTTCGCAACCTGCGAGGTCCAGTCCTCCACGGACTCTTCTGAGACTTCGAAGTGCCCGGCAGTCTGCAGCACTCCTTGCCCGCCCGGCACCCGGAAGAGGAACACCGCGACGCGTTCGCACGGGTTGATTTTGTGCGGCGGCCCGGTCGCGTTGTCGGGGCGAAACGGGCACGTGGTGCCGTAGAGCGCCTGCACCAGCCTCCGAAGGTAGTCTTGCTGGGGAAAAGAGGGGCGGGGCGGAAGAAGCTGTTTTGTTGTTGTATTCGCGGGGGACGACCAGAAGAGTTAATATGTCGAGAAAATAATAAAAGGGAAACAGCAGACGAAAGTGGGTACACCCACCCCTTTCTCGGACAAAAGTGGGTGTACTCGAACATTCTCTTTGCGGAGACCACTCGTGACAGGGTTGGAGAGTCGTTCGCAGGAGGGGCGTTGCTGCCTTCCTTACTCCTGNGGTGCCGTAGAGCGCCTGCACCAGCCTCCGAAGGTAGTCTTGCTGGGGAAAAGAGGGGCGGGGCGGAAGAAGCTGTTTTGTTGTTGTATTCGCGGGGGACGACCAGAAGAGTTAATATGTCGAGAAAATAATAAAAGGGAAACAGCAGACGAAAGTGGGTACACCCACCCCTTTCTCGGACAAAAGTGGGTGTACTCGAACATTCTCTTTGCGGAGACCACTCGTGACAGGGTTGGAGAGTCGTTCGCAGGAGGGGCGTTGCTGCCTTCATTACTCCTGAAACAAGTCTTAGGATTACTGACCGTTCATCATGTGTGCGGTGTGTGATTACACGAGGGTTGAGAGGGCACCAAGCTGGGGAAACCCTAAGCAGTGGGTACACCCACCCCTTTCTCGGACAAAAGTGGGTGTACTCGAACATTCTCTTTGCGGAGACCACTCGTGACAGGGTTGGAGAGTCGTTCGCAGGAGGGGCGTTGCTGCCTTCCTTACTCCTGAAACAAGTCTTAGGATTACTGACCGTTCATCATGTGTGCGGTGTGTGATCGCACGAGGGTTGGGAGGGCACCAAGCTGGGGAAACCCTAAGCCATTGCAAGAAAACAAACCACAAACATCCAAATGGGTCACAAACTTTTGTGCGTGTGGGTGAGAGCTGGATCAGGTCCCCGATGCCCTGCTGGGAATGGACACCTTCCCCTGCGCTACAAGCATGCACCTACAAGAAGGTGCCGGTGTTGGTACCGTGTCGACTTTGCGCGGGTCGGGCACCAGCGTCACATCACGCGGCCCTGCAAAATCACGACCAAGAAAGAGCCTAATCATCGTAGACTGTGACTCTCACGCAGCAATGAGCGACCGAGAGTCTCTTACGTCGCCCGAACAGTTGACTACCCTCGGCAGCACCGTACCCCGTGGAACAAGTTGCCGTCCCCTTCCCGCCGGTGTAGCGTTTCAAACCACACGATGAAGGCTTCGTTCAACGAATATGTATACATCGAAGGAGTCGGGGGGTAGTTCGTCCTCACCTGCAACGGAACCAAGCGCCTAACGTCGCAGACGGCAATTTGTGCGCCCATTGGTTCCACCAGCGACCCTCGTGCGGGACGGGTTTGCGGTCTTAGCTTCTTGTGCCGTCAAACCAATCTTCCACGTCGTCCATCGTAGCCCCGCTCTTTGCCGCCCTCTCCAGGAGTGATTCCTCTTGCATCAGCTCATTCAGGAGCACGACATCGACGAGATCATCGTCGTCCTTCAGCAGTGCAACCATAAGCAGGATGTCTCGGAAATCATCGTCATCCATGCTGTTGTGTATCCTCGATCGATATCCTTGCTCCTGCTGCCGCCAGGACTGACGACAAACAAAAAAACAAATCGGCACGCACATTCCTCCTTTCAGATGCGAAAGATTTCAATCAACGCGCCGAACGCCATTTCAGGTGCATGCGGCGTTGCAGTCAGGATGCAGGATTGGGGTGCATGTACAGCAGTGTATGCAGTTCAGCGCGAATCACGGGGAGGCGGGCGGTTTTGAACTTTGAAATTCGCAAAAACAGATACCTGGTACACATTATCGGGCGTCATATGGTATACAGAGCGTGTGTCTGCTCGTCGAAACGAAAGGGCTCTTCTTCCTTTTTCCAGCATCCACCCGCGCACCACGTCCTCGTTCCTTGGATTGAACGAGCCACGAACACAAGCGGCACTCAATATTGAGCCGTAACTCAAAGGTGAACATGTGTCGAGCGTACCATGTACGCTAAAAAAACGCTGCTTGTTTTGGGGGTAGACTAATCTTTGACGGGAGATCAAAAGGAGTGGACAATCGTCATTATCAGTACGAGCTAGGCGCTTCTCACGCGGTGTAAGGTTGGGGTAGGGAAACGTGTACGAATCGTGAGCCAGTTTTGCTAATAGGACACCCCTCAGTACACACGCGAACGAACAGAACGTGGTGTGCGCGGCAGACCACCCTGTCATCTACAGCAGTGATTGGAAAACCATGAATGCTGCCAGGCTGTGTTGGACAACCCTCGCCTTGTTCAGTGAGTGGCAAGCAGACAAACTTTACTCACAGAATACGTGCTCTACTAATGGGACGTTGGGTACGAGCGTCCTCCCCCGATTGGGTGGAGGCAAGCAAACACCAGTACACCGCGGCTACATATGGCTAACGGCATGGTCACACTGCGAATTGCGCCGCACGTATGTTCGGTACGCCGCCGCGCTCACCTGTATCTACCAGCCCCCCCACCCTCCCCCCAAGAGGCCAAGTTGTGCGTGCCTTGCACTTGGCCACCTTTGGTTCTTGCTTCTTGTAGCAGGCGATTGTACGTTGTGTGTGTCGCCGTCTTCAGCCCCGACTCCCATCATCTGTCATGACATAATCCAACGGAATTGATTGGTACCCCCTTTCCGGCGACCCCCCCTAAAATGGTTCAGGCCAATGATATATGACAAATAATTGTCATATACCATTGGTTCAGGCAGCACAGAGCAGTCACAGCGCGGCAAGAGACCTTCCAAATGGATATGCCAGCATGCCAGCCCCTGGAGTTGTCGGTGATGAAGTTCCTACATTCAGAATCTAAGGGACGTTCTCGTTGTCATCGGCGGGCTCCTCGACGGTCACAGCAGTGCGAGGGACTTCAGCCCAAAGCGATTGTGTGTACAGTCGTCCCCGCGTTGTAGCTACACTTCCCGCTTTAAGGACATAACAATCTCATAAACGAGTCCGCGTGTGTACACCAGGGCTTGCGTACAAATTCTGTGCGCAAGCGGAGAATAATAATGTTTGTTCGTTGCTTTCGAAATTGCATTAATTGGTCGTACCCCCCCACGCTTGAACAGGGGGGGGAGAGAAGAGCGGAACTCGGGGATCTCAACCTATCCCCGTCCACAACGCCATCAGTATAAACCAGTCACCGCACCATCAGGCATACTCTCAAAGTCATGCCTGCCCCCCTTTCTTCTCTCCAAATTGTACGCATGTTCCGATATGCCGACCTCAATATACCATACCGCACATGTACCACATTGATTGTGATGCACCGTGAAGTACACCACTGCATGCCCATGTCTAGTCGCGCTACCTCGTCAAGCTCATCAACGGTCGCACACACGCGGTACCTCACGAACCCCCACGTTGGGTTCGCACCCGGCCCCGCTCCCGACCGCCGGCCAACGGCTACGGCCGACCCTGTCGACCATAACCAATCATCCAGTCACTGTGCACTCGCCGCTCGTGGCACAGCAACTTAGGCGCTCTCACCCGCACTGAGAGTACCGCCAACATCCCTA